GCCCTCCCCTTACTCAGCCCACATGGAGAAACTGACCTGGATGCACAAAGTGCCTGGTGTTGCAGCTCCCCCCACACACCCCTGAAACTCCACCCATGATGGCGGACCACCTGGGACTGTATGCCACAGCTCACAGTTTGTGAACCGCTGGGCTATATGATCGCAGTGAGCCCATCTGACTTTATAATCTACAAATCTACCTAAAATCTATTTTTGCAGAAAAGGTTGGGTCACAATTAATTGTGGCAAAATGGTAAAAGTAAAATTAAAATTCAGATTTGTCTTTTAATTTTGAAGAGACCAACCAGCTCAGCATCTCATACGTGAACATAAGAACAGCCATAGTGGGTCAGACCAAAGGTCCATCTAGCCCAGTATCCTGTCTTCTGACAGTGGCCAATGCCAGGTGCCCCAGAGGGAATGAACAGAACAGGTAATCATCCAGTGATCCATCCCGTCACCCATTCCCAGCTTCTGGCAAACAGAGGTTAGGGACACCATCCCTGCCCATCGTGGCTAATAGCCATTGATGGACCTATCCTCTATGAACCTATCTAGTTCTTTTTTGAACCCTGTTATAGTCTTGTGAATCCTGGGATAGTGTTCATGTGAGTGTGAAGTAAAATAAATTGGCAAGCATGTTGGTGTCTAACAGCAGATGCAAAAGATTGGCAGACAGACTAACACGGCTGCTACTCTGAAACTAGTCCGTAGACTGGGACTCAGTTCTTTTATTCTCCATACAGAATTGGAAGCTTTCCCTTTTGGACGTGTGCCTTTTCACACTTACAGAATGAGATACAGGCTCACAAAGGTCAATCACATAGCATTGTATTTAAAGAGTGTGAGGCGCTCAGATACTAGACGGATGGGGGCCATATAAGTACCTAAGACATCGATTATAAGCCCTTTGGCTTGTTTTGCACTGGATTTTTTTAATGAGTTCTTCTGCCAGAAAAAAATACTTTGGAGGAGGGGGGTGTGTTGAGGAAAAAACCACAACAATCCTTGGTGCTGAGCAGACAGACTGCAGTGTTGTGTTTTGTTTTACCAGCTGGAGCTCTTTCAGGGTGTGGGGCTGCATTCCTCAACCTCAGATCGTCCTTGCCTAATGCATCATGTACTCTAGGAATTGTGTAGAGGTTAGCTAACGAATACGCCACTGCAGAACACAGCAAAGTCACTGGGAGGAAAATTCTCTAGAGAAATCGAGCTCTGACTTGTTGGTTATACAAAGAAATCAGCAAGGGGAAAACCTAGGAGCTGAACTAGAGCTAATTGCTCCATCAGGGACATGAAACAAGCACAGCACAAAGCAAGCTTTCAGCATTTCCATAGACCCAAGCCCAGACTTGTCCTGGCATAAGCAGAAAGAGTGAGAAGCCCCACTGAACCAAGCATTAGGAGAATGTTTCTCCACCTAATTCGTTCAGCATTTCAGTGTACCTGACTCTGGATAAGCCAATTGGACATGGAGGAAGCTACTTTACCCCTTCTTTGTGTAATGGGGAGAGTAAACAATCCACAAAGACTCCAAATGGGTCACTCAGGTATCATGTTTTGTGATGGGGTTTGTTCTTTTCAATCAATTTATTGAAATGTTTGTATCTGCAAAGTTAGCACTATATCAGCACAACTTGGAAAACCCACGTAATTAAACAGCCAGGACAGCTTAGCAAAGCAGCTTAGCACGGCAAACCCAGCACACCACGATAAAATCTGTGCTGCGTGGCAAAGCATACACAGCCAGAACTAGACAGGGAATCAGGCACAGTGTAAGAAAGTCAGCATAGCATGATACAGTCAGTGCAGCGTGGCCCATATGGCATAGTGTGAACAGTACACTCAGAGCAGCGAGGTGCAGGCAGAGCAGCATGGCACAGCCATTGATACACAATTCCTATTTGCATAATACACCAATCTTGAACCTGACAAATCAGCAGCTATATTTGCCCCCACTCTCCCGTCTAATGATGGAAATTCCACATTTCACTTTGTCTCTTAGCCTTCCAAAAATTCACTAACTGAAATGACAGAGGCTGTGCTCAGCACCAGTGGTGGTTCTGTTGGTCCATATTTTATGAACCACCTGATGGTTCTGGATTCCTGCAATTTCTTCCCATGCCCTGTCAGTCAAGCTCACAATGTCCTCTCCTCAGCCTAGCAGAGGGAGTCCAGTTCTTATCATAAGGCATCGCAATGGCTCCTTTGCCCTGGGGGAATCCAGCAGAGCAGGAGGAATCAGGCCTGGAAAAGGAGTGGAATATGGCAGACAGGAAACTGCTCAAGATCCTCCCAAACCTGCACTTCCCCCCACTCTTTCACTCCCTGCTGTGACCATTTCCAGCTGAGGAAGCGAAGTGATGGCCCACAGTGAAGGTGCTTCTTGCTCCCAGAGGTAAATTTACCAGTTGTGGGCTCTTGCAGCAGCTTTGCATCTTCAAAAACCCTGCAACCAGAAGCTTCCTGCATGATCCTCCACTCCTAAAACCACCTCACCGCTCGCCCTGGCCTCCTTCAGAAGTGGAGGCTGGAGAGCACATTCTTGGCGGGATCCTGGTAACAACGACGCATGTCAAATGCCTCATGTTTGCGGGTCCTTTCTCTTCTTGCCATTTTCTTTCTGAATCACAGGCTGGATGGACAGTAGAGATACAGCCAGGAACAAATGGCAAGGTCACCTCTGCAGCGGAAAGCCTGATCAAGAGCCCCACAGTTCCTTCTGGCCTGGGACAGTTCCCATCCTCCTTTGGGGGGCACCTCTCTGCCCAGAACTCATCGGGGTGACTCACAAGGGAGGAGACCGGTGCTTGTGAAAAGCATTTTCTAGGAAGTTGGCCAGCATTTCACAGTCATCCTAGGAGAAAGGAATCAGCAGGTTAATTAGGCTTGGTGTAGCTGAGAGCACTCCCCACATTTAATCCTCACTATCACCTCTCATGTCTCTACAGTAGCAAGGAGAAGAGGAGAACTGGTGAGCATGACTGCAGATGTACAGGGCCGTGGAGATCCAGAGAGGCAAAGGTAAGGTAAGCAGAGCAACTGATGCTGTAGAGGGGTCATCGGATTGCCAGGAGCCTCGTGGTAACATTCTCCTACCCAAGTGAAGGAAGGATTTGTTAATTTCCCTGCCGCGGAGGGTCACACACGCCACGACACCCACAAAATCACCGGCTTGTGGAAGACTTTTCTCTCTGCTTCTTAACAGAAAATTGTTTGACTTTCGAATCAACAGATTGTACCAGGAGCCACATATTTTCCAGAAATGCTCTCCGGGAGGGGACTCCTGTTCTCTCCCAAATCTTCCCCATTCATTTTGGCAGATGACCTCTGTTCTATATGGTCCATATGCTCAGGAGGCCGTCCAGGAACGACGTATAAATGCACCATCTTGCAAGTGGCCAGAAGGTAAAGCTGTTTGTCAAAGGAGCTGACTAACTGCTTGGGTAGGGTCAGGATTCAGATTGAGGAATTCTCCCAGACTTCACTTACGGTTTCCAAATTCCCAACTCATGGCCAAAACGCGACACCATTTTCTGGCAAAAATAAGTGTGTCTGCTTCCTCCTAGCCAGGCTTCCTCCAGGCAACTCTGCTACTCGAAGCAGCTGCATCCCCCTGGCTCTGGACTGCTGAACTAGCTGGGCCCTCCCTGGCTCTGGGGCCACTGAAGAGAAATGTGCTGTGCACAAGTTTGATGGTGAGGGAATTGATTCCATCTTCTGGCCAGGTAGAAAGCTGCAGTGTAGGTCAGTGACTGCTGTCTGGGGCAGCAGCAGGCACGGGTGCTTCTCTGGGGGAGGCAGGAGGTGGCAGAGAGTCTCATCTGGGCTCTTTGATCTACGCAGCTCTTCTGGTTTCATACTCCAGAATCATTTTTAAATTTGGTCCCACTCACTGTGTGACTCATGCCATGATAATATGGCTACTCCTGTCATTGGAGCAGCCTGGAGCCAGGCCTGAGCAAAGCAGATAGGCAAAGAGTGGCAGCATGGTAAAAAGTAGGGGGTTCATCATGCAACCATAAACTGGCCCCGTCTGACCCTGGTCACAGTCATAAGAACAAGCTTGCTTAAATGGGAAAATAAGTGAGTGGACTGCCCAGGTCATGCCCCTGAGGCCTAGGGTGTGGTGGAGAATTAGCGAGTCCTGTGTTAATATATCGGCAGCAGATCCCTGCCTGAGTGAGCCGCGCACATTCTAAAGGAGGGGGAGGAGGCTCACCTCATGGATGAATCCGTAGTGCACCAGCTCTGAGGCCAAGCCCTTGGAACTGTCAGCTGCAGAAACAGGGTTAACGGTGAGAACAGGAAATTCATGCCGCTCGCGTTCCCTCCAGAGAGCACCTCTCCTGGCACACAGCCCAGCTGGAAGCTTTTGCTGACGCATTTGGCTTTGGGGACACAGATGGCTGAGCACCAGCCCATGCGACTATGGGACAGACAGAGTGTGTAGGTGAGCACTGAGTGGGCCTCACACCAAGTGCCGGGTGGAATGAGCTTTGCAAGGTTCCACTCCCAGACCAGGCAAAGTGTGGCCATCTCAGCAGAACGCCCTTTTGACATTCTTGGCTCAGAAACCAAAAAGGGCCTTTTATGATACCAAGCCCTGTGAAGGGAGATCCCTGGCTCTGGGCTTTTCGGCTGTCTGTGAGGCCAGATAAAGAACTCTGACTCCAGGGCACCCGAAAAGGATGGCTGCACTTTCCTCCAGAGGGCTCCTGTCTTCCCCATGAGTCGGGCTGGGACTGGGCATGCTCTGAAGAGAACCACCTCTGGGCTCTGCAGCAGAGCCAGGATGAATGGCTGGGAACTTTCACACCACACAAGGGCAGCTCATCACTCAGCCATGGACTTTTCCCCTTTACTAAAGCTGCAGAAAAAGGCTGCTGTCTTAGGGGAGAAACTACCTACTTCCTCTTCTCTTGACAGGTGTCACAGTATTGGGGTGCAGAGGTGAAATTCTGATCAGGATAATGTGAATGTTCCTAATGGCCATTCCACTATGCTCCCAAAGGCTGTGAGCCCGGACACCCACTGCTCTGGGGACACAGGTGGGCAGGACCCTGCACCTGGCTGGCAGGGTTCAGGCTGCCTCCTCCAGTGCAGAGAGGAAAGGAAACCAGGTTGTAAACAGACTGAGCTCTTTGGAGTAAGGACCACGTCCTCCTGTAAGTCTGAGCATGGCCTTGTGCCATGGGGCCCAACCCTGCTCAGGGCCCTCAGGCACGACTACTAGATCAATAATAGGACATGATAATTATAAATAAACCTACTTGGCAGCAGGTCGTAGCTTAACTGTCGGTGCAGCTTGTCCTCCAGGGTTAGCAAGAGCGTGAGCTGCAGCAGGAAGAGACAGCGTATTAGAAAAGAGCATCAGCTTCTCCTTAGGAAACAAACGTGCAGCTTCTTCAGCCAGCACCAGAGGCTGCTGGGAGAAACAGGTAGTGCTGGTGCAGGAGATCGCGGGCAGCCGGTCAGACATGCCCTTTGAAGGCCCTGCCTGGAATGAATGTGCCCTTTCCTCTATCACAGCTAAAATGTTACATTACACTGGGAGAAGGGTAGGGTCGGGGACACCCCGCCCAGTGCAACAATCCCAAGTCTTTCCCTCTCCAACCTCACTACAGGCTGCAGTGAGTGCTCTGGGAGTTCCTCGCAGAGGATGAAGGGCTCAGGATCCCTCCAAGGATCCGCCCGGAGAATGTTAGCTGAATAGAACAAGTCCTAGTGTCATTATTGTCCTTGCAATGATAAAAGAGCCACAGATCAAAATCTCCAGATCCTGGATACAGCTCCCTCTTTCTAAAGGGGACCCCTCAAGCCATGATCCTGTCCCTTTGGAATCACAGAACCCCCAAGAGATGAACAAGGGATCCCAGGCACACTTGCACCAGAGCAGAGGAATTTCCCCCCTACTGTTACTCACACCTTCTTGTCAACTATTTGAAATGGGCCATCCTGATTATCACTATACAAGTTTTTTTTTCTCCTGCTGATAATAGCCCACCTTAATCGATTAGTCTCATTAGAGTTGGTATAGCAACCCCCATTTTTTCATGTTCTCTGTATCCATCTATCTTCCTACTGTATTTTCCACTGCATGCATCTGATGTAGTGGGCTTTAGCCCACGAAAGCTTATGCTCAAATAAATTTGTTAGTCTCTAAGGTGCCACAAGGACTCCTTGTTGTTTTTGCTGATACAGGCTAACACAGCTACCACTCTGAAATTAGCCCCTGTGTGACTACATAACCTGGCCGAGCAGAACGGAGAGATGCTACAGCCAGTATTAGACTTATGACAATTACTGATTTATACAGCACCATGGGGGCACCCAGCCCCCACAAAACACATGAAGTCCCTAGGCTCTGTTTGCCAGAAGCTGGGAATGGACAACAGGGGATGGATCACTGGATGATTTCCTGTTCTGTTCATTCCCTCTGGGGCACCTGGCATTGGCCACTGTCAGAAGACAGGATACTGGGCTAGATGGACCTTTGGTCTGATCCAGTATGGCCGTTCTTATGGAGGCAAGGGCCCTACCCCTAAGGAGCTTACAGTCAGCTTTGGAGAAACACCAGGAAGCTGCAAGGACCAGGTGTGGGAGGCCACAGACAGGAGAGAAGCAACAGAAAGAGACACAGGTCTGTGGATTTTGATCCCCTCCCACAGTTCATGAGTTTGCACCTCATGTTTGGGTTTGCCCCATTATAGGGAAGGAGCTGCCCACTAAACTCAGAGCTGGCCCAGCTTGTCAGGGTTCAGATCTGGGGTTTGGGTTCAGGCTTGTCTACACAAGAAAGCAGCACTGGTTTAACTGAAGGTGTGACTTTAATCTGATTTAGCTAAACTGATGCTAACCCTGACGTGGGCACTTATTTTGATTTAAGAGCAGCATACTTCAGTTTCTCTTCAACTCCCAAGAGCGGCCACTCAGGGGCTTGCACCAGTTTAACTAAATTGGTTTAAAAATTGCTGTGAGTTAAACCGGTGCAACCTGCTCATCTAGACACGACCGAAGTGACAGCAGTGAATCTTGGGGAAGGCAATGAAGGTGCAG